ATCGCATCCCGTCAGCCCCAGACAGGATGACCTAATAACCGGTCTCCTGACTCGCATCACAGGACACACACACACACCCCAAAGCCAGAGAGAGAGCGTAACCTTCATAACAAACATGGGACCCTGCATTGAAATGGAGGGTAGAGGAGATGGGAGACCGCATAGATTTTCAATCGGTCAGAAATCTTAACCTTTTACGGTACACTTCCACCTAACGACAACCAACCATGATGATACAGAACGTCAGGGTAGATCAGCAGCCAGAGATCACCTGAGGCCAAAAGAGTAATTCACCCAAACTGACAAACACAAGTTTGAGCAAACTCAAATCTGCTTTTAGAGGAATAATTATTCAAAATAGTAGTGTGCAGAAATCTGACCCCACAGTCTCTATGTAATGCTGTCTTGCTTTTCCTTCGTCACAGGTACAAGACAGAAATGGCTTACTCAACTACTGTAGGCCTACTGAGAAGGGACACACAGTCTCAGATACAGACAGACAGAAATCGATTAGTATTCTCTTTGATAGCACACTCTGCCTCATTGAAAAACACAACCAACGAGACAGTCCATTTTACTCACAGGCAGAAAACGAAACAGCAGTCTTCCATCTCTCTCGGACTCTATTCTATGTCTCTCTCTCGCTCTTTTCAGCTGCTGCTTCTGGCTCTCTCTGACACTCGAGCTCCACTGCAGGGTAGCACCCCCCTGCCAGTGTCCTTTATATAGAGAACACATTCACACACACACACACACTGCTCCTAGTGACTGTTATTCAGAATACACACACAAACCCTGCAAGTGTGTAGAAAAAAGGAGAGAGCGAGAGAGAGAGCGAGTGCGAGAGAGAGAGAGAGAGAGTGGTAACTTCCACAAAGCTGTGAACGATCTGAGAGACAAGGCAAGAAGGGCCTTCTATGCCATCAAAAGGAACATAAAATTTGACATACCAATTAGGATCTGGCTCAAAATACTTCAATCAGTTATAGAACCCATTGCCCTTTATGGTTGTGAGGTCTGGGGTCTGCTCACCAGCCAAGAATTCACAAAATGGGACAAACACCAAATTGAGACTCTGCATGCAGAATTCTGCAAAAATATCCTCAGTGTACAACGAAAAACACAAAATAATGCCTGCAGAGCAGAATTAGGCCGATACCCACTAATTATCAAAATCCAGAAAAGAGCCGTTAAATTCTATAACCACTTAAAAGAAAGTGATTCCCAAACCTTCCATAACAAAGCATTCACCTACAGAGTGATGATCTTGGAGAAGAGTCCCCTAAGCAAGCTGGTCCTGGGGCTCTGTTCAAATAACACAAACAGATCCCACAGAGCCCCAGGACAACAACAACAACACAATTAGACCCAACCAAATCATGAGAAAACAAAAAGAGAATTACTTGACACATTGGAAAGAATTAACAAAAAAACAGAGCAAACTAGAATGCTATTTGGCCCTAAACAGTGAGTACACAGTGGCAGAATACCTGACCACTGTGACTGACCCAAACTTAAGGAAAGCTTTGACTATGTACAAACTCAGTGAGCATAGCCTTGCTATTGAGAAAGGCCACCGTAGGCAGACCTGGGTCTCAGGAGAAGACAGGCTATGTGCACACTGCCCACAAAATGAGGTGGAAACTGAGCTGCAGTTCCTAACCTCCTGACAAATGTATGACCATATTAGAGACACATATTTCCCTCAGATTACAGAGATCCACAAAGAATTCGAAAACAAACCCAATTTTGATAAACTCCCTTATCTACTGGGTGAAAAACCACAGTGTGCCATCACAGCAGCAAGATGTGTGACCTGTTGCCACAAGAAAAGGGCAACCAGTGAAGAACAAACACCATTGTAAATACAACCCATATTTATTTTCCCATTTGTACTTTAACTATTTGCACATTGTTACAACACTGTATATATACATAATATGACATTTGAAATGTCTTTATTCTTTTGGAACTTCTGAGTGTAATGTTTACTGTTAATATTTATTGTTTATTTAACTTTTGTTTCCTATCTACTCACTTGCTTTGGCAATGTTAACATACGTTTCCCATGCCAATAAAGCCCTTACATTGAGAGAGAGAGAGAGAGAGAGCGAGAGCGAGAGCGAGAACATACGAGAGAGAGAGAGAGAGCACATACAAGCTCAGCAGAACACTGATCTAACTCAGCACAAATGTCGGTCAGTGGACACACAGAGACACAGACACACACACACAGTACCCCAGCTCTGGTTCCTATACCATCTCCCTCTCTTATTTCAATTTCTCGTGTGTTTTTTTGTTCTACCTTATGTTATTTTATAGTACTACAATAATATTATTACTGCATTGTTGGGATAAGAGCTTGCAAGAAAGGCATTTCACTGAGCTTGAGCTGAGCTTGTGCACGTGCCTCCTCAACCCTCCTCTCCTCCCTTTCTGCATCCTTTGACTCTCTATGTCCCATATCCTCCCGGCCGGCTCGGTCCTCCCCTCCTGCTCCGTGGCTTGACGACTCATTGCGAGCTCACAGAACAGGGCTCCAGACAGCCGAGCGGAAATGGAGGAAAACTAGACTCCCTGCGGACCTGGCATCTTTTCACTCCCTCCTCTCTACATTTTCTTCCTCTGTTTCTGCTGCTAAAGCCACTTTCTACCACTCTAAATTCCAAGCATCTGCCTCTAACCCTAGGAAGCTCTTTGCCACCTTCTCCTCCCTGCTGAATCCCCCCCCCCCCCCCCCCTTTCTGTGGATGACTTCGTCAACCATTTTGAAAAGAAGGTTGACGACATCCAATCCTCGTTTGTTAAGTCAAATGACACCGCTGGTCCTGCTCACACAGCCCTACCCTATGCTTTGACTTCTTTCTCCCCTCTCTCTCCAGATGAAATCTTGCGACTTGTGATGGCCGGCCGCCCAGCAACCTGCCCGCTTGACCCTATCCCCTCCTCTCTTCTCCAGACCATTTCCGGAGACCTTCTCCCTTACCTCACCTCGCTCATCAACTCATCCTTGACCGCTGGCTATGTCCCTTCCGTCTTCAAGAGAGCGAGAGTTGCACCCCTTCTCAAAAAACCTACACTCGATCCCTCCGATGTCAACAACTACAGACCAGTATCCGTTCTTTCTTTTCTCTCCAAAACTCTTGAGCGTGCCGTCTTTAGCCAACTCTCTTGCTATCTCTCTCAGAATTACCTTCTTGATCCAAACCAGTCAGGTTTCAAGACTGGTCATTCAACTGAGACTGCTCTTCTCTGTGTCACGGAGGCTCTCCGCACTGCTAAAGCTAACTCTCTCTCCTCTGCTCTCGTCCTTCTAGACCTATCTGCTGCCTTTGATACTGTGAACCATCTGATCCTCCTCTCCACACTCTCCGAGTTGGGCATTTCCGGCGCGGCTCACTCTTGGATTGCGTCCTACCTGACAGGTCGCTCCTACCAGGTGGCGTGGCGAGAATCTGTCTCCGCACCACGTGCTCTCACCACTGGTGTCCCCCAGGGCTCAGTTCTAGGCCCTCTCCTATTCTCGCTATACACCAAGTCACTTGGCTCTGTCATATCCTCACATGGCCTCTCCTATCATTGCTACGCAGACGACACACAATTAATCTTCTCCTTTCCCCCTTCTGATAACCAGGTGGCGAATCGCATCTCTGCATGTCTGGCAGACATATCAGTGTGGATGACGGATCACCACCTCAAGCTGAACCTCGGCAAGACGGAGCTGCTCTTCCTCCCGGGGAAGGACTGCCCGTTCCATGATCTCGCCATCACGGTTGACAACTCCGTTGTGTCCTCCTCCCAGAGTGCAAAGAGCCTTGGCGTGACCCTGGACAACACCCTGTCATTCTCCGCTAACATCAAGGCGGTGACCCGATCCTGTAGGTTCATGCTCTACAACATTCGCAGAGTACGACCCTGCCTTACACAGGAAGCGGCACAGGTCCTAATCCAGGCACTTGTCATCTCCCGTCTGGATTACTGCAACTCACTGTTGGCTGGGCTCCCTGTTTGTGCCATTAAACCCCTACAACTCATCCAGAACGCCGCAGCCCGTCTGGTGTTCAACCTTCCCAAGTTCTCTCACGTCACCCCGCTCCTCCGCACACTCCACTGGCTTCCAGTTGAAGCTCGCATCTGATAGAAGACCATGGTGCTTGCCTACGGAGCTGTGAGGGGAACGGCACATCCGTACCTTCAGCCTCTGATCAGTCCCTACACCCAAACGAGGGCATTGCGTTCATCCACCTCTGGCCTGCTGGCCCCCCTACCTCTGCGGAAGCACAGTTCCCACTCAGCCCAGTCAAAACTGTTCGCTGCTCTGGCACCCCAATGGTGGAACAAGCTCCCTCACGACGCCAGGACAGCGGAGTCACTCACCACCTTCCGGAGACACTTGAAACCCCACCTCTTTAAGGAATACCTGGGATAGGATAAAGTAATCCTTCTACCCCCCCCCCCCCCCCCCCCCCCCCCCCCTTACCCCACCCTTACCCCACCCCCCAAAAATAAAATAAAAAATATTGTAAAGTGGTTGTCCCACTGGCTATCATAAGGTGAATGCACCAATTTGTAAGTCGCTCTGGATAAGAGTGTCTGCTAAATGACGAAAATGTAAATGTAAAATGTCATTAAAACTTGAAACTGAAACTCTCCCGCTCTCCAATCCAAACTTAGAAACATAGCCATTTTACAGTTCAAATACAGCTATGATTTTTTTATTGACAACATACAAGGGTTGAATGTTGCATTTTACATGTTATGCAGACTATCTATTGCCCCTTCTAAAAGATGCATACTGTACTGTGCGGAGATACTTTTGTTATAACTAACTACACAAATATAAGTGCTGTTGAACAAAATGTAGGCATAGATCAGCTTTTTGTTTTGTACTATATCTTAAAAACGTAATTGCTCACATGCACAGTGTTGGGACCATATCAACAATTGACTAATGAACAAAATAGCACTAAAATATGTTTTTTTAGTCAAATATCATTTTAAACCTCACTTCAGCTCCTCTGAACATTTATGTTTTTTTTTTTTTTAAAGAGGCGGATCTCTAGACTAGTCAAGAGTTTGAGTGCCAGACTAGACAGGCAGTCACTAGCAACGGGGGTACCTACAGTCTACCGTGACGAGATTGACTAGGTGTAGCTAACTGGCTAGGTTAGCCGAGATACGGCAACATTTGGATTATAACTATAATTTATTTTCAAGTATATCTCGGGGGTGTAGGCCAAGGAGAAATATGATCTACATATAAGTGTTGTAGCTAGACTAGCGTTAGTAACACTTCTTAGCCATCACATCAGAGTTGCTAGCTACCAGTAGCTAGCTGCCGTGCAATGTTTTGAACATCGACACCAGAATAGGTTGTGCCCTCTGCTGCATACGTCGTTCATCGCTCATTATTGTAACGTTAGTTATTTCGATAATTTGTGTATAAATTATCACTTTTTAGAGATGGACAACCTTACTTCATCGGCAGCCTATGCATTTGGATCAGAGGTAAGTAACGTATTAGCCAGTTGCCACGCTGGAATAGCTAGCGTTTAGCTTGTGCCGTTAGCTAGCTATAACGTTATTGAACTTGCTAGCTTGCTGTAACCAACTGCTAAAAAACGTCAGTGTTTATGATCATAACTAGGCAGTCGGCTAACTAGCTACCTGTTTAAAACCGCGATTCAGCGTTAACACGTTATAACTTTAGCTAGTTTTAGTGTTACGGTTCATCTTGTTACTGTATTTTTCTGTTTTAATAGAATTACAGCCCCAACTTGTTAATAGTTAGTTAGCTAACGTTACTTAACTAGGTAGCTACTAGTTTGCAGTTAATTATCAAGAACTTGACATGTACATTTTTCACTATCCAGCTAACGTTGTCACATTTCCGTCTTTAGCTAACTTAATGACAAAGATGTAGCTAGTTATGATGATAACGAGGTTGCATATCTAACGTTAGCTAACTAGCAACCTCACCGCGTTGTTACTCCATATAGCTAACAAATTAGCAAACTAGTCCACTGGCTTTGGCCATTTAGCTGATGATAACTAGCAGGCTATTCTCTGTCCACGTTCCTAGCTCGCTCGCTGCTCAGCAACAATCGCCATCTTGGCACCACGGTTATAAGGTATTTTAGCCAGGTAGTAGATAATAAATTAGCTTGTGTCCTTATCATGTTTTCAAATCGTTAACCACAGATGATCCAGTATATTGACCAGATACTCTATCGTAGGACTGGCCGTTCTTCTTCTTTGTGTGAATTTCCGGCAGACTAGACGCTGTGTTGCATATTGCTGCCTTTCGCAGGTCGGAGTGTGGATTGCACATTTTGTTCACCCAAAAAATGTGGGATTTGGAAAAACTTAAATTGAACCACCATCTAACCGTGCACCTATACACTATCCCCCAAAACCGACCACCTCATCCCTCAGCCTAAACGATTCTACACCAGGCCGTTGGCCTGGGAGGATGGAACCCCTTCTTACAAAACTTATGTAGATCTTCTGCACTAAAATCTCTTACACCCAAATATTTATCTGCTGCTGTAATTACCACATCTATCTTCTGTGAATTCTGCTCCATCTGTGCAGTACAGTTGATCACATGGCTATAAACGCAAGAAATCCAACTTTACTACACTCATCCTCTCTGGATCTCTCTCTTCAGGCATCCCAGTCGACTCACTCACCCTTGGGCTATCCTCTACTCTCTTCACTGCCTCAGCATAGGAAACTTTCTGCCCCATTCAAACTCTGGCAATCTCAACCTGTCTCTCCCTCACAGGGCACTTCGGATCCCCAGCTGCATGGGCAGCCCCAGAGTTGACGCACAGTGCTTTCTCTATCCTAACTGTACACTCCCTCAGACTATGCCCTCCTGTACATTTCTCACATCGTGGGATCTCACTTCTACACACTGCTGCAACATGTCCGAATCCTAGGCACCTAAAGCACCGTAGTGGGTTTGGAACATGGGACCAACACAGAATAGCAAATATAACCAGACCTTATCAGGTAGAAAACTCTGTTTCAAAGCTCAACAAGACAGACCGGATATTCCCAGTCTCGCCATTGCCACCGAGTCTACGTCTCACCAAACGGCGGGCATCACAAACACTACAAATATTTTTTCCTTCATTTGATCCACCTCACTCAACGCTACCCCACTGATCACCCCTTTGAGCGGCGCCCTGCTCCGGAGAGCAAAGCACGACATGTTGAGCCCTGAGACTCGTGACTCGTAGCTGCCGCTTTCTTTGGGCTAGTGGCTGCTCTAACAATTAAAATAAATGTCTTAAAAAATGGAAGGCAGTTGGGTTTCTCCCGAGTGGCGCAGTGGTCTAGTGGCTGTGCCACTAGAGATCCTGGTTCGAGTCCAGGCTCTGTCGCAGCCGGCCGCAACCGGGAGACCCATAGGCGGCGCACAATTGGTCCAGCGTCGTCCAAGGTAGGGGAGTGTTTAGCCGGGAGGGATGTGGGTTCGTTTCCCAAGGGGGGCCAGTATGAAATGAAAAAAAAGTATGCATTCACGAACTGTAAGTCGCTCTGGATAAGAGCGTCTGCTAAATGACTAAAATGTAAATGTTTCCACTAGTTACAGCCACAGTCAAAATGGTCAAAATGGTAAAACATTTATAAAAATACAAAGGAGCTTTTTGATTTAATTTAAAGTTAGGCATAAGGTTAACAGTGTGGTTAAGGTTAGGTTTAAAATGAAATTTTAAGAAGATCAATTGTAGAAATGGGTGGGGTTTATTACTTTGTGGCTGTGGTAACTAGTGACGACCAGGCTGTCAGGAGGAGTCAAGATCAGGTGGGACCATTCTAGCCAATGAGAGGGAAGATACGCGTGTGACCAGGTACAACTGTTTCCACTAGTTACCACAGCCAAGTCAATTGGCTATATTGTAAAAATTCATTAAAAAACATTTGGTTTTAATCTAAGGTTAGGCATAAGGTTAGCAGTGTGGTTAAGGTTAGGTTTAAAATCCAAATATAAAGAGAAATTGTAGAAATAGGCACGGTTTATGACTGTGGCTGTGGTAACTAGTAATGACCAGGCACAACTCCGGTATAACGTGTTTTTTCTCAAAGTTGCCGGGATGTCATGTGTCCTACTTATGTCAGTACACTCATAACAAGCAAATCATTACGAAACTTTTATTCGATCAAATAAGCCACACGTAGCAAATAAGCATTCTGGCTTGTAAGAAACATTTACACGATTTTGCACACAAATGTCTCAGGCTGTATATACAAATGATTGTGTATTACAGCCTGATTAATCAGACTAGCTGTCAAATGGCACTGTTTTAAACCACAGTCTCGTTTATCCTTTGACGGGCAGCGTGCTAGAACTTCAATTCACTGAATATATTCCCTTTAGTCCGTTCAAATGCATAATTTTATCAATGTAATTTTATCAATGTATTACATGTGAGCCCCAACTAAGACACAATGTTTCCTAATTTGGAGTGGTTTAGCGTCCTTTGACCTCCTGTTGATGTATTGTGTGTTGCAGGGGCTCAGTCCACCATACAGGAAGAGAAGGACGGTGGAGGACTTCAACAAGTTCTGCACCTTTGTGTTGGACATATGCAGGCTATATCCCATATCCCCAGGAGGTAAGTAAAGAAAACCCAGTCGTAGTTGGTGTGTGTGCGTACACGTGTGCCTGTAGGTTCTTTGTTCTGAATAGTGAGGGACACTTAAGGCTGGTTCATACTTGTTGTAATGACATGTCTGTAGACAATTGTCGCAGGGACATCATGAAAATTCTATAGTCGTCTAACATCAAACTTGTCCTTGTCCCTATGAAAAAGTATAAACACAAAAATGACGTGTGTGATATATACAGTGAGGGAAAAAAGTATTTGATCCCCTGCTGATTTTGTGCGTTTGCCTACTGACAAAGACGTGATCAGTCTATGATTTTAATGGTAGGTTTATTTGAACAGTGAGAGACAGAATAACAACAAAAAAATCCAGAAAAACACATGTAAAAAATGTTATGAATTGATTTGCTTTTTAATGAGGGAAATAGGTATTTGACCCCTCTGCAAAACATGACTTAGTACTTGGTGGCAAAACCCTTGTTGGCAATCACAGAGGTCAGACATTTCTTGTAGTTGGCCACCAGGTTTGCACACATCTCAGGAGGGATTTTGTCCCACTCCTCTTTGCAGATCTTCTCCAAGTCATTAAGGTTTCGAGGCTGACGTTTGGTAACTAGAACCTTCAGCTCCCTCCACAGATTTTCTATGGGATTAAGGTCTGGAGACTGGCTAGGCCACTCCAGGACCTTAATGTGCTTCTTCTTGAGCCACTCCTTTGTTGCCTTGGCCGTGTGTTTTGGGTCATTGTCATGCTGGAATACCCATCCACGACCCATTTTCAATGCCCTGGCTGAGGGAAGGAGGTTCTCACCCAAGATTTGATGGTACATGGCCCCGTCCATCGTCCCTTTGATGCGGTGAAGTTGTCCTGTCCCCTTAGCAGAAAAACACCCCCAAAGCATAATGTTTCCACCTCCATGTTTGACGGTGGGGATGTTGTTCTTGGGGTCATAGGCAGCATTCCTCCTCCTCCAAACATGGCGAGTTGAGTTGATGCCAAAGAGCTCGATTTTGGTCTCATCTGACCACAACACTTTCACCCAGTTCTCCTCTGAATCATTCAGATGTTCATTGGCAAACTTCAGACGGGCCTGTATATGTGCTTTCTTGAGCAGGGGGACCTTGCGGGCGCTGCAGGATTTCAGTCCTTCACGGCGTAGTGTGTTACCAATTGTTTTCTTGGTGACTATGGTCCCAGCTGCCTTGAGATCATTGACAAGATCCTCCCGTGTAGTTCTGGGCTGATTCCTAACCGTTCTCATGATCATTGTAACTCCACAAGGTGAGATCTTGCATGGAGCCCCAGGCTGAGGGAGATTGACAGTTATTTTGTGTTTCTTCCATTTGTGAATAATCGCACCAACTGTTGTCACCTTCTCACCAAGCTGCTTGGCGATGGTCTTGTAGCCCATTCCAGCCTTGTGTAGGTCTACAATCTTGTCCCTGACATCCTTGGAGAGCTCTTTGGTCTTGGCCATGGTGGAGAGTTTGGAATCTGATTGATTGATTGCTTCTGTGGACAGGTGTCTTTTATACAGGTAACAAACTGAGATTAGGAGCACTCCCTTTAAGAGTGTGCTCCTAATCTCAGCTCGTTACCTGTATAAAAGACACCTGGGAGCCAGAAATCTTTCTGATTGAGAGGGGGTCAAATACTTATTTCCCTCATTAAAATGCAAATAAATGTATAACATTTTTGACATGCGTTTTCCTGGATTTTGTTGTTGTTATTCTGTCTCTCACTGTTCAAATAAACCTACCATTAAAATTATAGACTGATCATTTCTTTGTCAGTGGGCAAACATACAAAATCAGCAGGGGATCAAATACTTTTTTCCCTCACTGTGTATATATATATATAAATCACACACACACAGCAGTATTCAGACCCCTTCACTTTTTCCACATTTTGTTACGTTACAGCCATATTCTAAAATTGATTAATCAATCTACAGACAATACCCCATAATGACAAAGCAAACACAGGTTTTTAGATTTATTTGTATTTTATTTTTAAAAAATAACGGAAATATCAGATTTACATAAGTATTCAGACCCTTTACACAGTACTTTGTTTAAGCACCTTTGGCAGTGATTACAGCCTCGAGTCTTCTTGGGTATGACGCTACAAGCTTGGCACATCTGTATTTGGGGAGTTTCTCACATTCTCTGCAGATCCTCTCAAGCTCTGTCAGGTTGGATGGGGAGCGTTGCTGCATAGCTATTTTCAGGTCTCTCCAGAGATGTTCGATCGGGTTCAAGTCCGGGCTCTGGCTGGGCCACTCAAGGACATTCAGAGACTAGTCCCAAAGCCACTCCTGTGTTGTCTTGGCTGTGTGCTTAGGGTCATTGTCCTGTTGGAAGGTGAACCTTTCCCCAATCTGACGTCCTTTTCATCAAGGATCTCTACATACTTTGCTCCGTTCATCTTTCCCTCGATCCTGACTAGTCTCTCAGTCACTGCTGCAGAAAAACATCCCCACAGCATGATGCTGCCGCCACCATGCTTCACCGTAGGGACGGTGCCTGGTTTCCTCCAGATGTGACGCTTGGCATTCAGGCCAAAGAGTTCAATCTTGTTTACATCAGACCAGAGAATCTTGTTTCTCTTGGCCTTTTGGCAAACTCCAAGCAGGGTTGTCATGTGCCCTTTACCTAGGAGTGGCTTCCATCTGGCCACTCTACCTCAAAGGCCTGATTGGTGGAGTGCTGCAGATAGTTGTCCTTCTGGAAGGTTCTCCCATCTCCACAGAGGAACTCTGGAGCTCTGTCAGAGTGTCCATCAGGTTCTTGGTCACCTCCCTGACTAAGGCCCTTCTCCCCTGATTGCTCAGTTTGGTTGGTCGGGCGGGCAGCTCTAGGAAGAGTCTTGGTGCTTCCAAACGTCTTCCATTTAAGAATGATGGAGGCCACTGTGTTCTTGGTGACCTTAAATGCTGCAGAAATTGTTTGGTACCCTTCCCCAGATCTGTGCCTCGACACAATCCTGTCTCGGAGCTCTACGGACAAATCCTTCGACCTCATGGCTTGGTTGTTGCTCTGACATGCCCTGTCAACTGTGGGACCTTATATAGACAGGTGTGTGCCTTTCCAAATCATGTCCAATCAATTGAATTTACCACAGGTGGACTCCAATCAAGTTGTAGAAACATCAGAAAGATGATCACTGGAAACAGGATGCACCTGAGCTCAATTTTGAGGCTCATTGCAAAGAGTCTGAATACTTATAAGGTATTTCTGTTTTTTATTTTTAATACATTTGCTAAAATTCCTAAACCTGTTTTCGCTTTGTCATTATGGGGTATTGTGTGTGGATTGATGAGAACATTTTATTTAATCAATTTTAGAATAAGGCTGTAACGTAACAAAATGTGGAAAAAGTGAAGCGGTCTGAATACTTTCCGAAAGCACTATATATACACACTACCAGTCAAAAGTTTGGACACACCTACTCATTCAAGGGTTTTTCTTTATTTTTACTATTTTTTACATTGTAGAATAATAGTGAAGACATCAAAACTATGAAATAACACATATAAAATCATGTAGTAACCTAAACAAGTGTTAAACAAATCAAAATATATTTTTAGATTCTTAAAATAGCCACCCTTTGCCTTGATGACAGCTTTGCACACTCTTGGCATTCTCTCAACCAGCTTCATGAGGTAGTCATCTGGAATGCATTTCAATTAACAGGTGTGCCTTCTTAAAAGTTAATTTGTGGAATTTATTTCCTTCTTAATGTGTTTGAGCCAATCGGTTGTGTTGTGACAAGGTAGGGGTGGTATACAGAAGATAGCCCTATTTGGTAAAAGACCAAGTCCATATTATGGCAAGAACAGCTCAAATAAGCAAAGAGAAATGACAGCCCATCATTACTTTAAGACATGAAGGTCAGTCAATACAGAAAATGTCAAGAACTTTGAAAGTTTCTTCAAGTGCAGTCGCAAAAACCATCAAGCGCTATGATGAAACTGGCTCTCATGAGGACCGCCACAGGAATGGAAGACCCAGCGTTACCTCTGCTGCAGAGAATAAGTTCATTACAGTTACCAGCCTCAGAAATTGCAGCCCAAATAAATGCTTCACAGAGTTCAAGTAACAGACACATCTCAACATCAACTGTTCAGAGTGGACTGTGTGAATCAGGCCTTCATGGTTGAATTGCTGCAAAGAAACCACTACTAAAGGACACCAATAAGAAGAAGAGACCTGCTTGGGCCAAGATACACGAGCAATGGACATTAGACTGGTGGAAATTTGTCCTTTGGTCTGGAGTCCAAATTTGAGATTTTTGGTTCAAACCGCCGTGTCTTTGTGAAACGTGGTGTGGATGAACGGATGATCTCCGCATGTGAGGTTCCCACCGTAAAGCATGGAGGAGGAGGTGTGGGGGTGCTTTGCTGATGACACTCAGTGATTTATTTTAACCAGCAGCCAACAAGTGCTCCGCATATGTGGGAACTTCTTCAAGACTGTTGGAAAAGCATTCCAGGTGAAGCTGGTTGAGAGAATGCCAAGAGTGTGCAAAGCTGTCAAGGCAAAGGGTGGCTACTTTGAATAATCTAAAATATATTTTGATTTAACACTTTTTTGGTTACTACATGATTCCATATGTGTTATTTCATAGTGTTGATGTCTTCACTATTATTCTACAATGTAGAAAATAGTAAAAAAATAAAGTAAAACCCTTGAATGAGTAGGTGTGTCCAAACTTTTGACTGGTAGTGCTTTCGGAAAGTATTCAGACCGCATCACTTTTTCCAAATGTTGTTACGTTACAGCCTTATTCTAAAATGGATTCAAAAAATTTTTCCCTCATCAATCTAAACACAATACCCCATAATGACAAAGCGAAAACCGGTTTTTAGACATTTTAGCAAATTTAGTGTCTCAGGCCCACCCACTGGGGAGCCAGGCCCAGCCAATCAGAGTTTTCCCCCACAAAATGGCTTCATTACAGACTGAAATACTCTTCGGCACCCTTCCCCCACTCTGCCTCAGATGATCCCGCAAGTGAAGAAGCCGGATGTGGAGGTCCTGGGCTGCCGTGGTTACACGTGGTCTGCGGTTGTGAGGCCGGTTGGACGTACTGCCAAATCCTCTAAAACGAAGCTGGAGGCAGCTTATGGTAGAAAAATTAACATTTAATTATCTGGCAAAAGCTCTGGTGGACATTTCTGCAGACAGCATGCCAATTGCACGCTCCCTCAAAACTTGAGACGTCTGTGGCATTGTGTTGTGTGACAAAACTGTACATTTTAGAGTGGCCTTTTATTGTCCCCAGCACTAGGTGCACCTGTGTAATGATCATGCTGTTTAATCAGCTTCTTGATATTCCACACCTGTCAAGTGGATGGATTATCTTGGCAAAGGAAAAATGCTCACTAACAGGGATGTAAACACATTTGTGCACAACATTTGAGAGAAATAAGCTTTTTGTGCGTATGGAACATTTCTGGGATCTTTTAGTTCAGCTGATGAAACATGGGACCAACACATTACATGTTGCGTTAATATTTTTGTCCCGTGTAGGATCAAACACACGATTTCTGTGTTGGCAACATTGCTTGATATAAGTTTAAGACTCTAGGTTTCAGGAAATGGCAGTTACAGGTTTAAAAAATAAATTTAAAAAATGCTCAAATTTTCTGAGGGGGAAGTTAACTGACACCCTCCGGACCTCCCCCCTACCCAACCTTAGACCTACATCAGCACCTCCCAGGGAAAGCCTGATTGTACATTTTAAAGGTATTTCTGGTTAGCTACTGAAGAGCAGCCAATTACCAAGTGCAAAAAGCCGCTGTAGGGTGCTGCCACCGTGCTGAAGTGGTACTCATAAAAATGATTCACTGTTGGCAGGTCTGTTATTGTGATGTTTATTGATTACCTATAGCTTACGGTTGTGAGTGCGACGATATCAAAGCAGGTCATTCTACCGGATCATTTTTTAACTTCTGTGAATGTCTTGCTGCTGTCACCATGACAATGGACGCTGCGACAGGGTCTAAGTTGAAAATGTTTGTGTCTGCGACAAGGAAAATTACCATCGCAACGACAGTACAGACATTCTACCGGAGTATAAATTAAATGTCGTTTTGACCAGCGACGTGTCACATTCTAATTGTCTACGAACATGTTGTTAGTCCAAGTATAAACCAGCCTTTAGGCAGAACTGTGACGTGTTATGCAACACTATGACTGGTTATATTTTGAGGTGTGTGTGTGGTTAGTGGCAAGACACATGGTGTAGGACTCAGAGATGTTTGTGGATCATGGAGCGGCCGCTCAGAGCTTTTGCTCTTTTTTTTTTTCTACACAACTGTTGTGTTGGTGTCCCACTGCCCTCCTTTCCCCCTGTGTGTATAAACCACGCCCCTAACTAGTGTTGTAAAGATGGATCAGATACAGCGTCCATTGACAGTGGCATTTTGTTTTCCTCCTGGGTGGTTGTGATGTTACACCATAGTACCTGGGGTTTGTTCAGTAGGCTACAATGTTGTGGAACGCTCAGATAGGAGTAGGCTATGCTGTGTGTCTGCCATGTAGCCGTGGGAGTCATGGCAACTCTATACAGCATTACATTTCTATCTGAAACGTTCAGAGCGTTGCACCCTTCTGAATGCGACTCTGGACATGCTGACTGTATCTATGTTAACTCCTCCCTTCCCGGTGTGGTGTGTTGTGGTGACCCTCTATTTGATCCACAGAACTGGAGGAGGCGTGGCTTCTGGCAGCCTCCTTGCTGGGCCCCGCCCCTTGTCCCTGGCTAGCCAATCTGCTGCTGTCTCTTCTGAAGGGACACGCACCTAACACAGGCCTGACCCCTCTCCCAGGGTAAGAGGGCCAACAACAGTCTCTCCATACTCATCCCAGACCCTAGCCCTGTGCTTCTTTTGGCCCCTAGACCCTTTCCCCTACCCTCTCTGTAGTGTTCACAGATTTGAAAGGACTGGATAGAATTAACCAAATCTGGTGATGGCACCACCTAGCCTTCCAACAGGCTGAATGGAGCTTCTGTTGCTGTCACATGCCAAGCTAGCCCTGTCAATTAGGAACCTTGATGTGGCATAGATAACCAGGGGAAAGGGCTGGAATGGAACAAGGTTCCCCTGACCCCCTCAGCTCAGGCAAGAGGAGCAGCTCGACCCAACGGCAGCACCCTCGACCCGTTGAACCAGAGCCATTCTGTACCTCATCAATAGACCGTGCTACAACTCTGTGCCGTCTGTCTGTCTGTCTGTTTGACCGAGCCCTCAGAGTAGGGTTTGTATCTCACCTCAGGCCGGGGGATTTTCATCGTTATGAGCATATGCAGTGGTGTCACTGAGGCCATCTATAACATTATGGAAGTGTTGTGAAGTTACTGTTGATCCCTGTTTTTAGGTCAAACTGGTCTCAGATTTGTATTGGGTCAGTGTGTGAGTGTGGTGTTTGTGGTCTATGTCAATGGATTGTATCAATAGCTTCACAACCACCCCCATTCTCCCACGTAAGAGAGGAGTTTTGTGTAAACACATACAGGCGTTAACCACCATTACTGTCTTTCCCTTTCCAGGACTCTCCTCTGCGTAGTAGCTCCAGCCCTCCCAACAGTACAGGCAGTACAGTAGATAGTGATGGCTGGACCCCCGTCCCTCCACCCCCCTCCTCCTGTCCCCCGCGGCCCCCCAAACCCCCTGCAGGACGAGAACAGGAAACGGCCCCATCCCACAGGACTCCACCCCGGGGCCTCACTATCCAGCCATGTTAGGAACAATGTAAGTGGGGTGCTTTTGATCATTCTACTTCTAACGTCAACATTTACTCATACTCCCGAACCCTAAAGGAATTCCTATTTTCCAGCATGGCCATCTAGTGTCCTCCCTACACCCAGATGACCGCAAGAAAGCCAACAAACTGAAGAAGAAGAAAATGAGGAAGGACAGGGAGAACCAGGTCGGCGAGCCGAGCTCCACACAACAGGCACAGTTCCCCCTGCCCCTGGGAGGACGACCAATCAAAGACGAGCCTGAGGATGACTTCACCATCCCCCTCCCCCTTTCGTCCACTCACCATCTTCCCAGTCCCTGTAACCAGGAGTCCAATGAGGAGTGGGAGTGCTGGGAGGGGCAGGGGCTGGAGGAGGGCTTGGTGAAGATGGAGGGTTTTCCTAGGAACAGGACGGTGATCCGGCAGGGAAAACAGGTGGTGTTCCGAGACGAGGATGGCTCTGGAGAGGACGAGGACATCATGGTGGACTCCGGTAAGCAAATGTCATGTTATGTAAATGCTGCACACAAATGACAGAACTCATTGTTGTGATGACATTGCCTGTTTCAAGTAGCAGTCTGACAGTTGATCCTCTCTCTCTCTCTCTCTCTCTCTCTCTCAGATGATGACTCGTGGGACCTGGTGACATGTTTCTGTAAGAAGCCATTTGCGGGCCGGGCCATGATTGAGTGTAACCAGTGTAACACCTGGATCCACCTGTCCTGCGCTAAGATCAGGAAGTCCCACGTCCCCGAGACGTATAGGTGTCAGAGCTGCAGAGACACACTGGGCCCTGCAGACAACCGCCGCTCATACCGCGCACGCATTGGCCCCCGCAAACACCTTCTCGACTGACCCCATGGCCAACCACTAACCATTCACCCTTATACCCCCACCCCTCTCACCCGCATTTACACCCGTACCCCAGCCCACCCCTTTCCCTATACTTCTCACCCCTATTTTGTGGACAGAGCTGACTAACTTTCCCTTGGGGGCTTAACACCCCCAAACTGAACCATTCCGAGTGCTATTTTTAAATGTATTATAAATATGACGGTTTGTCTCTGCTTCATTCCAGACTCTGTGTGCGTAAGGCAATCACTGAATATTTGTCTGTTTGTAGTAAGCAGTAGTAAAATAGTTGACCAGTAGGGTTGGACTCTGTAGTCAAGTCTAGCTGACCGACTGGCTCAGACTGTATAGAGACTAGAGACGCGTCTCGCATGAACACTGGAAACCTGTTTAACGCTTAAACTGCCAGAGAAAATGGCCCTGACAGCTGCCACACATCAGGGTGCATTCTGGGACAAGGGTGGGTTTACTTGTCAGCCCCTTCTCAGCCCCCCAACCACCCTTTCTCAACTAGGGGTTGGTACGTATGTCTGTCTGAGCGATTTCTATGTCTAAAGTCTCAAACAGACAGTCTGAAGATACTAATGTCCTAGATAAGGTGGTCCTCTGTAGCTCAATTGGTAGAGCATGGCGCTTGTAACGCCAGGGTAGTGGGTTCGATCCCCGGGACCACCCATACGTAAAAATTTATGCACACATGACTGTAATTATTATAAGCTTGTTCCAGTTAACTCCTCTTTAATAGACAGCTTAAAGGGGTGCGCTAGGCTACACCAAGGTATTATCCCATACTTCAAAGATTTAAAAGGCGGCCATCACTTACTTGATGGAGCGTCATTTGATATTTCATATCAACAATTCTTCATCAAGTGAGTGCTGGCCATAGACAACCCATACATTGCGTTCATCTTGTGGAGCTAACCTTGTGGGGACATACAATTCAGTCCCATTCAAAATCCTATTTTCCCTAAACCTAACCAAAAGACCTAACCTTGACCCTAGCTCCTAAACCTAATTCTAACCTTAACCCTAAACCCCCTAGAAATAGCATTTTACCTTGTGGGGACCAACAAAATGTCCCAGTTGGTCAGATTTTTCTTGGTTTACTATTCTTGTCGGGACTTCTGGTCCCCACAAGTATAGTTAAACACGCCCACAAACACATATATATACTGTATGACATTGTTGGTGCTGGTCAAATTGTTTCTATACATGACTGTTCTCCTAGACCAGGGGCTGTACCTGTCTCTCTGTCCTCCCACAATCAAGGCCTTTGGTTTTTACAAGCAATGCCATGTCGGGTTTGTTCAAGATCATTGTTTTACGGTCGGAAACAATCACACGCCAATGTGGGTGTTATGCCACAACTCATTCAGTTAAGCTTCATTCACAAACACCACTATGCCTGGAACAGTTTGATGGTCCTGAACAGACCCCAGTGGGTTAATGGGTACATATTGTTGTGGCTGTAAAGAGAGCCTTGTGTGGAGACTATGCTTGTGTTTGTTAGGTGGGTGAAGAAAATGCATGAACGTGTGTGGTGCTAGAAAGCGCCCATGCTGCTACGTAGAGTGATGTCACTGGTCCAGTCCTGAAACAAGCCCCTAGGCATTTCATGTAGATCTGTAAAGTGCCCTAGGGAGTAGGTGCTCAATTTTTCTGGACTGTGCCATTGTCTCTGCCACTTGGTTCTCAGTCCTCTCAGGTTAGTCCTGTAGGCTAGAGAGCTATGGGGCCAAAGTAGGATTTATTCAGCCATCAATCAATGCATTAACACAACCATTGTGTACGTTTCTCCAGTCTGGGTCTTAGGTGTGTTCTGTTCGGCTTTCTGGGTTTTTCCTGACCATAGAACACGTTTTTTTTTTAGGCTGTAACGAGGGCCCAGAGTTGTTCATGGTCAGGTAAAACTCCTGTCTCATGACTCCTTCTGATGTACTCATTCACACACACATCAGTATTTAATCTCTTACCTTCTGATCACTACCAGGCATTCTGGGGTTTGATAAAGCATTCTGGGGTTTCTGGAGAAGTGTCCTTTTCTTCAAGCTGTTTACATTTTGACCGTGTTGTTATTTTAAGCTGTTTCTCATATGTATTATGTTTTCACCATGACTTGTCAAGTCTAAGCTTGTTGGTGTGTACAAGCTTCATTTATAAGCCATAGAATCACGGTCACTGTCTGACTGACTGACTGTTGGACATACACCCACTGGATGCTTGTCTGGGCTGGGCTTTCTACCAAGCAGGAGCAGTGGGTTAGTTACTATGGTCATGAAATTACAAAAAATCGTCAGTCATACTAGACCAATTTTAGATTATCATAAATTGCGTATGAAATGTTTTGCTACACATAGGAACATTTGAATGCTAACTCATTGATCCTGCTTTGTGAGAACACCTAGATACTAGGAATGTAGTGTCTGTGGTGCAAACTGTTTCTGTGAAACTGTATTGTACATTATTGTAAATAAAGATTTAATGAAGATTTTTACCCCACCTTCCTAGGTCTCCTCGTTGTTCCTCTACTTGCAAGAATGACATCACTAGCCTGGGTGCCAGTCTGTTTCGGCTCTCTTGCCCAACAAATGTTTCGCTTGACAATAAAGATGGGAGTAGGCAAAAGCAATAACAGATTGGGGACCACTGTAATGTACTTTATTTTAGTCTTTTTAGAAAAAAGACAGTGTATAAGTCAGTGGCTCCTCTTTATTTATTGTAATATCTTCACATGACTACATAGTCCACTAGCTCCAGACATCATTTTTATACAGCAGAGTTTGTATCAGCCAGGGCAGGAATGTAAGAGTGGAGAGCAGTCTGTGTTGGCCTCAGAGTAGCTTAAAGAATAGGAACTAGTGGAGTGGGTGACTTTAACATGGACGCTAACAGCATGCGTAGGGGACATGAGCAAACATCCTAAATTGAGGAAAAGTGGGGTGAACGTTAGCTCGTTCTTGCCTCATTCTGTAAAGTGTGTTGGATGTTTGAGTCGGTGAACCTCGTTCACAAACAAGGTTCACTAAATCTTAACTGGTAAGAGGAGACGGACAAGTACAGTAGCAAACAACCCGATAACCTTACGTACCAAACGGACTCCGCTCCAGCGCCAAAACATCTGAGGCTGGGTCGCTTTCTTCTCAAATACATCACATAGAAAATATCCTGTGTTCTGACTACAGGCCTGGGGTGTAGTCATTAGTCCAAACTGAAAACGGTTTGCAATAAAAACAAGAGTTTCTATTGGATAAATTCAGGTAGGTCCCTCCCCGTTTTGTTCTGTTTGCTTCCTAGTGAATACACCCCTGTACATGGGGTTCCATTGGGTGGTTTCAGCACCCGTAGTACACGGGACAGCATACAGTGGGAATGGAACAGAACTGTGTTGAAAAGTATATAACTCCAGTTTCCACCACTGGCAAAACCTATTTGAACCTTTGCCTATACATGGACAAAAATGCAGACAGTACATTCACTGATGAGTCTTCAAACGTGTCCCTCATCCTCATTAGAACCTATACAGTATGCTGCCGAGACAGAGACAGAAAGGACCAACACTGTCTCAATAATTAGTCAATGTTAAGTAGAACTGTGTCTGTTTGCTCTATCTATAGTATTACAGGATATTACTCACAGCTATAAAAACTAAATATAAATCGAAGACAACAGGGACAAACAATATTGCCATGGGAACTGAAGGTATGGCACATAAAGGATGGACTGACTTTCTAATAAATGATCATTCTCTTCATCATCATCGCTATCATAATAATGTTGATGATCTGATATGACCAAGGTTTAACAAATACATTTATACATAAATAAATCTTAAACAGTACAATAGTCCCACTGCATCCCACTTGCCTGTTTCCATCGACAGTGACCGCACATACAAAGATAGATGTATGTACTGTACATAGATGCTTTAGCAGCAAACGTACTCTCACAGAGGCTTTCTCATAAATATAATATAAATAATATATATGTATACACCATGATGTATATATGAATGACATCATTGGACTTTCTCTATACTCTTCACTGTGTCTCAGGCAGTGCCTCCTCATCATCCATCTCAATCATACCAACTCAACCAAGCCTACCAGGGCTCCAATCACACACTGGCTCTTGGGGGTAATTAGAATTAGACTAGTGTTAATATTTTCATATGTTCAACCCTCATGGATGTGCCCTTATGTGTTCTTAGAATGCCTGGCACCCCTATAATTGGGACCCTGCCCCACACAACATCAGCAGCAGACAAATTGCTTCCAAGGCATAATAATATACATACAGAAATGACAAAACAAGAAAACTAACACACAAAAAAGAAAATCATTTTTAGACCTTCTTTTAGCCTTCATGTTGCCATGCCAACAGGCAGGTGGTGCTGGGTCCCATAATGGTGGTACTGATGAACACGTTTTCATGCATAGTTCTGTTCTAACCATAACGTTAGCATGGGTTAGTGGTGTACAACCTTATTACAACTAGTATAGTACAGTGGTATAACATTAGTGGTGCAATGTTTACTGTAGTAGACTTCCCTGATATGTACACCAGGAGTCATATTGCACCTTTCTGGGGAGATGACACACGTACACAGTGGAAACTACACTGGCTAAAAGAGATGTATCTAGTGGGTTTAGAGGGAGGGGAGGTGAGGACGGCCCACATCCACCACCACCGGGATGGAGAGGAGAGAAGGAACTCATGTCTAAATTCATAAATGTAATGGTGGAAGAGAAAGAGAGACAGCATTTCTTTTCACGCTGTCTGTTTGTCTCTCTCCCTCCGTTTGTCAGTCCTTCTGTCAATGTCTGTCTGTGTTTCCATGTGTCCTTTGTTGCTCCCATAACAGAGGATTCCTACGCCTCAGTGTCCATTCTGTGAGCTGAGAGGGAGAGATAATATTTAGCTTAGCGTAGAACTTTTGTAATTAATCTGCAATTTCACTGTAATGGAGTTTAGTTTTTGTGGAGTTGTAAACAGGTTATGATATGGTGGTTGTTACAATAATATTGGGTTAAACTGTGATTCTATAGTGGTTGTGTTGTGGTTGTATACCCACACTGCTTGGGTATCCGTAGGGCTTCAGTGTCTGCTGAGAGGACTTGGTGCATCACCCCCCTGAACTGATACAGCAGCTTCAGACTCTTATCCTCTCCTACACACGGGTCATAGAAACCTGGCAACCCTGCCTACACACACACAGACACAGACACACACACAGACACAGACACATACACATACATACACACACAGACGGGTGGGGGGCTGGTTACACATACACACAGGTCATAGAAAAATGCCATCCCTACACACACATACAGTACATAAACGCACACAAAGACACACACATATCCACACCTTGGAGGCCTCAGTGAGTATGAGTTTGGAGTCCTTGACTAGGCACTGCAGAGGGACAGTCACGTCTATAACCTGAGCTCTCTCCTGGCGCGTGCTGTTGTCTGTCACAAACTTCCCATACCACGCATTCAGGATGATCAGACCTGGAACAGGAGGAAGGACACACACATACACACACACACACACACACACACAGCTGAGTCAGAATCATTGAAAAGACAAAGCACAGAAAAACCAGTCTTGCCTAATAGTCAAGACATTGGTCAAGAGGGCGTGTGGGCGTGCATATCAGTGAATATGTGCATACTCACCCATCTTAGACTCCTCTCCCTCGATGATTCTCCTCACAGACTCCTGCATCAGCTGAACCTGAGTCAGGGAGAAAGAAAGAGAGGGAGGGGGCGGAAGGGGTTGAATATGCAATACCTCCATCACTCACATTGTAAATATGGTATTGGAACTGACCCTGTATATACTGTAGCTTCTTACTTTCTCCTGTTCTTGTTATTATTTGTATTTCTAGTGTGTTTTTGTTCTACATTATGTTATTTTAAGTACTACATTGATTACTGCATTGTTTGGTTTAGAGCTTGCAAGAAAGGCATGTCACTGTCCTTGTGTATGTCACATTAGAACTTGAAACTTGATCTCAATGATATCAGTAAATGTTTCTGTATGGGTACTACGTGTTCCTTACGGCTGACTCTGCCTCTTGTTTCTTCTTGACCATGTCTACTTCTGAGCTCTTCCTCTGTAGCTCCAGTTCTCTGTGGGACAGACAGGGACAGACAGGGACAGACAGGAACAAACAGAGACAGACAGGGACAGACAGAGACAGACAGGGACAGACAGAGACAGACATAGAGACAGGGACAAACAGGAACAGACAGGAACAGACAGACAGACAGACAGACAGACAGACAGAGACAGACAGAGACAGACAGAGACAGACAGGGACAGACAGGGACAGACAGAGAGACAGGGACAGACAGGAACAGACAGGAACAGACAGACAGAGACAGACAGAGACAGACAGAGACAAACAGAGACAGACAGGGACAAACAGGGACAGACAGGGACAGACAGAGACAGACAGGGACAGACAGAGAGACAGGAACAGACAGGAACAGACAGAGACAGACAGGCAGAGACAGACAGAGACAGACAGACAGAGACAGACAGGGACAGACAGAACAAGATGTAAGAGTTATTCCTGGGTTTAATAACCAGTCTGCCATGTAAATCAGCAGTGATCTGTAGAGGGCTATTGTGTGTGTGTGTCTAGGCGGCGTGCGTGCGTACCATCAAGCAAGTGTGCATGCACGTGTGTGTGTGTGTGTGGGTATGTGTGGGTATGTGTGGGTATGTGTGTGCGGGTATGTGAAACTCACTGTTGTTTCTGGGAGCGTGTGTAAGGTATAACGACCAGTCTGTGTATGGCCATGTAGACCAGTAGAGGTCCCACGGTGGCGTAGAACACTGCACTGGGCAGCAGCTGGTCTGTCAGGTGGACTGGGAACAGGTAGGTCTGATTGGCACGAGCCAACCTGGGGAGAGAAGGAAACAAGTTACATTACATACCACGCTACGGCAGGTAGCTTAGTGGTTAAGAGCGTTGTGCCAGTAACCAGTAACCGAAAGGTCGCTGGTTCTAATCCCCGAGCCGACTAGGTGAAAAATCTGTCGATGTGCCCTTGAGCAAGGCACTTAACACTAATTGCTCCTTTAAGTCGCTCTGGATAAGAGCGTCTGCTAAATGAATAAAATGTCAAATGTAAAAATGTAATAATACTGTCTACTGGATTGGGGCTAGAAGGATGACGCCCTAAAGTTAATGTGGTAGGCAACACACAGACAGACATGCCACACACAAACACCCTGTATTATACACTGCACAGAAACACCCTGTATTATACACTGCACAGAAACACCCTGTATTATACACTGCACACCCTGTATTATACACAAACACCCTGTATTATACACTGCACAGAAACACCCTGTATTATACACTGCACACCCTGTATTATACACTGCACACCCTGTATTATACACTGCACAGAAACACTCTGTATTATACACTGCACACAAACACCCTGTATTATACACTGCACACCCTGTATTATACACTGCACACCCTGTATTATACACTGCACACCCTGTATTATACACAAACACCCTGTATTATACACAAACACCCTGTATTATACACTGCACACCCTGTATTATACACTGCACACCCTGTATTATACACTGCACACCCTGTATTATACACAAACACCCTGTATTATACACAAACACCCTGTATTATACACAAACCCTGTATTATCACAAAACACCCTGTATTATACACTGCACACCTGTTAACACTGCACACCCTGTATTATACACGCACACCCTGTATTATACACTGCAAACCACCCTGTATTATACACTGCACAAAACACCCTGTATTATACACCACACCCTGTATTAACAACACACCCTGTATTATACACTGCACAAAACACCCTGTATTATACACTGCACAAAACACCCTGTATTATACACTGCACACCCTGATATACAACACCCTGTATTATACACTGCAAACACCCTGTATTATCACACCCTGAATCACAAACACCCTGTATTATACACTGCACACCGTATATACACACACCCTGTATTATACACGACAACCCTGTATTATACACAACACCCTGTATTATCCACACGAAACACCCTGTAAACAACACCCTGTATTATACACACACCTGTTTATACACACCAAAACACCCTGTATTATACACAAACACCCTGATTATACACTGCAAAAACACCCTGTATTATACAACACCAACACCCCTGTATTATACACTGCACAGAAACACCCTGTATTATACACTGCACACAAACACCCTGTATTATACACTGCACAGAAACACCCTGTATTATACACTGCACAGAAACACCCTGTATTATACACTGCACAGAAACACCCTGTATTATACACTGCACAGAAACACCCTGTATTATACACTGCACAGAAACACCCTGTATTATACACTGCACAGAAACACCCTGTATTATACACTGCACAGAAACACCCTGTATTATACACTGTTGTAGTACCTGATTTTGAGGGTGACTCCCTGTGGGACTCCGATGCTGACAGTAGCAGCCAGGACACTGTGACGACTGATCTTCCTCTCTGCTCCATACTCCACCACTGTACCAAACCAACCAGTCCTGACACACAGAAACACACACACACACATACACACATACAATACCAATAAGGGCCAAGACTCCTACCTAACATATTCAGTGTGTCTGTGTGTGTGTGTGTGTGTGTGCGTACTTGATCGATCCCTTGATCTTGGTCTGGTCCTCATCCTGGAACTTGTGCTGGTAACTCATCATCAGGTAGGACTGAGGGACACCCAGCTAGAGGAGGTGAGGAATGAGGACACAAAAGAACATGGTTGGTTATCCTACCAGCCTTAACACCCACCTCAACATAAACTCAGGTGTGTGTGTGTGTGTGTGTGTGTGTGTGTGTGTGTGTGTGTGTGTGTGTGTGTGTGTGTGTGTGTGTGTGTGTGTGTGTGTGTGTGTGTGTGTGTGTACCTGCAGGGCCAGGGTAAAGTGGCTGGTCTTGGTGTCTCGGACCACACTAGTGGTCATAGCGCTGTGCGGTCCCCATCGCCACTGCAGGTAACCCATAGTGTTCTGGTCTAGGTGACGCGCTGTCATTAACGAACAGCTGGAACGCACGCCACGGGGAGAGAACTGCATACCACACTGAGCCGTCAGGAAACTAACAAACAGAGAGCGGGAGATGGGGGGAGAGAGTGAGAGAGAAAGAGAAGGAGAGAGAAAGAGCGCGAGAGGGAGAGAGAAGAAGAGAGGTTTTGCTTCAATATACTGTAAAATGACCTCTACACTAGTGACTAGGATAAATGTTTGATACATGTTTCTCATTGATCACAACCATCACTCGCCAGATGACTAGCATTATAATTGTTGTAGTGTATAAAGAGGGCCGTATTCTCTCCCCTCTATTGGCCACTCACCATCGTGGAGTCAGGTTACGAAACACCTTCATCCCAAACAGAGGTCCCAGTATGTCCCCAGCACCACACTCCAACTACACACACAAAGGGAGAGAAAAGCACATGCAGACTGAGTGAAACACAGACATGTCAGTCAATATCCTTCCTGTGTTTTCTCAGAAACTAGGGATCAAATGTGTTTCTGTGTGTTTGTGTACCTCTCCCCAGCCCTTGGCAGACGTGACGCGGCGGACAGTCATGTTGATGTTGCCTCCTCCGTTGCCATTGTGTGTGGAGAGAGAGCCAGACAACACTGCAGTGTCCGTGTTCGTCAACGGAGCCTACACACACACACAGGTAACACACACATACACACAGGTAACACACACATACACACAGGTAACACATGGGAAACACACAAGTATAACACATGAATTTATTAGAATGGACTTTTAGCTAGTTTCTGTGTGTATGTCTGTGTACGAGTCTGTGTATGAGTGTGACCGACAAGGAATCAAACCTCTGTGTGTGTGTATACCTTTATAGAGTGTGTGTGCGTGTGTGTACCTCTATAGAGTGTGTGTACCTCTATAGACTGGGAGATGTGCATCCTGTTGATCTCGATGTGAGGGAATCCTCCTCCAGGCATCTCATCAAAGTCCTCCTCATAACGATCAAACAGGTCTGTGGCATCTACTCCCACACTGATGGTACCCTGAACACACAGAGACATGAAAACATAAACACATTGTTCTGATGGTACTCTGAACACACAGAGAGACAAGAAAACATAAACACATTGTTCTGATGGTACTCTGAACACACAGAGAGACATGAAAACATAAACACATTGTTCTGATGGTACCCTGAACACACAGAGAGACATGAAAACATAAACACATTGTTCTGATGGTACTCTGAACACACAGAGAGACAAGAAACATAAACACATTGTTCTGATGGTACTCTGAACACACAGAGAGACATGAAAACATAAACACATTGTTCTGATGGTACTCTGAACACACAGAGAGACATGAAAACACAAACACATTGTTCTGGTGGTACCCTGAACACACAGAAAGTCTGTAGACATCATCCTGCTGTGGATATTTCTGTGAGAGGCTCAGGGGAGAAGTGTGTGTACCTTGGGGTTGGTCCTCTGCTGTAGCCTCCTCTCCTCTCTCTCTCTCTGAAGCCGTTCATACTCCTCACGGATCTCTGCTGGGGTCCTCTTCCTCTCCACAATCTACACACCACACACACACACACACTCCTCAGTTATCTCAGTTATAATTGTGTTATTACTACTTAAGTATACACACACATACTGCACATACCTCCCAGCCCTCCACCTCCAGGCCTTTCTTCCCAAAGATGTCATAGATGGCTCTGGACTGAGGGTCACTCAACACTGGACAGAGGGAAGGGAGTGAAAAAGAAAGAGAGAGAGGTTGTCCGGTCATTTTACAGTACTTACAGTCCAATTAAACAACAAGCAGCTTGTCAAGAAGAGTCAGTGACAGGGAACGCACAACTTACCCTCATAGGCCTGGTGCACCTGGTTAAATAGCTGCTCTGCCTGGCTCTTCAGCTCTGGGTCTCTGTGCTTGTCTGGGTGGTAGAGCATACACAACCTTCTATAAGAGGCCTTCAACTCATCCTGAGTGGCCTGAGGAGGGGGGGTGGGGAGGGGGGAGAGAGAACGATTACAATATTGATTTCTGCAGACATAGCCAAATGCATGAATACAAAATGCTAAATAAGAGACATAGGCCTATAAAGAAAGGAAAATACAGATGATTCCTCTGTGCACCAGGAGACCTCTGAAAACCCATGCCACACCAGCAGTGACAAGTAACAATAAGCAAATAAGGTAGGCTACTAAACAGTGAGTGTCACAGCGTATCAATTCAGCGAACAAAACCGTTAGCTAATAATATTATTCGACTTCTGACTTTGTTGTTGTCGTCTCAAGAAACAGTATTGACAGGTAGCTACGTCTGTTGTTCTGGTATCAAGAAACAGTATTGACAGGTAGCTACGTCTGTTGTTCTGGTATCAAGAAACAGTATTGACAGGTAGCTACGTCTGTTGTTCTGGTATCAAGAAACAGTATTGACAGGTAGCTACGTCTGTTGTTCTGGTATCAAGAAACAGTATTGAGAGGTAGCTAAGTCTGACAGCTAGGTCTGTCTGTCTGTCTTGCAGCATGCCTCTATGAGTGATGGACCGACCGGAGCAAGTATCAGCTGTCTCGACGAACGGGATGCCCATTCGAATCGGTGTTGACCATTAACGATACAGCGGGATAAAACATTAAAAAGAGCACATTATGTAAATACACAAACGCACTTAATACCTCTTTTCTGACGTTGAGAAGAGAATAATAGTCTTGGTTATCCAACTCTAACTCAACGTCAAAGGCCGCCGCCATCTTCGTACTATATCGGCCCCGCCTCCTTTCCGCCCATGCCAATGTGCTGTGTGCTCATTGATCTGTGCGTGTCTGCACTAGCACCGCGGTGTGGCCAGAAGGACTCCAGACATCCTGTCATTGAAAGATGTCAAGGTGAAAGTGTTGGTGCTGACCATGGTGCTGAAATATCTAATGTAGCCTATGTAGTGGTAAACGGACTGCCAGGCAGGGCTTGAACCTATACAATACCACGAAAAGCAATGCATCAAGTGCCATAAAGATCCAAACCTTTTTTAACGGAGGCATTTACATAGAAAGAGGCCACAACAGCTCTACCTACCTATAGGGTTACTAAACTACTGGTTTGAGCCTGGCATCTTCCCGTCCTTCCCGTGGTTTGCATTTAGTGATTGCCTTGTAGGAACGTTTCACCTATCTCATTTTCCTTTATGATTCTATGACACACCTTTAGGAGACGTATAAAGGTTGCGTTGACGCACCGTGTCTGATGGCTGTGAGTGACTGTAGATCATGGGTGATCGTTACCGGTAACGGCTGCCGTTATTGATGACAGTTTAGGCCGAGCAATTCAGATTTGGCCCCGGGAGTGGAAATATTTAAACCAATTACCCTTGTAGGCCTACGTGAACAAACTACGAATGTCTGCTTTTTAATTGGACAGGTTATTTATTCATGAATTGGCTCCTGATTGCTTGATAGTTCATAGGCTAATACAACTATATCTCAGAGAGAGCTGAGCGAGAGGCACGGTTAAATACCTATTAGGCCTTGGCTATCGACCTCCGCTTGGAATTAGAATGAAGCAATCGTTTCTCTGTAAATAAAATACATTAATTAATTGAATTTCACTTTATTTCCTGAATTGAATCAGTTTTAGTGAAATAGGCCTAGACCACAAAAAGTAAGAAACCTTATCTTTGTTGCAGTTTCAGTGCGTGTTGTTTACAGAAATATGTACGTTATGAAAGTCTCTGTGGGCGCGTGAAGCTGTCATTTCAGCACCATGCGCTTCAGCACCCTCACAGTGAGTGACAGCGCCCGCCAGCCCACGCGCGCTTCCTCTGCATTTCAGTGTCCTGGACTCATTCCATGGGGTTAGTAACACCAATGTGTCACACATGTATGAAGTTTATGTATGGTGCCACATTCTTACACTACTTGCACGCTGATTGGTGTTATATTGGTGTAATAGGCAGGCTATGTATAGGCTAATAGTCCTGAGAAATTAATTCCCATTCTCAGCCCAGGCAAAGGGATACAATTTTAATTTATCCAATCGTCATTTTGCCACATAAATCATTGTGAACGCATTTACAACCACGACCTGCAATCCAAGTCAGTAGGCTATCAGAAAGCCCTGGCAGATATGTCCTGATGAGGGAGTTAGGTTCCGTTTCACATCGCCTCTGTGGCTGAGAGATTGCCAAGGTGTCCCCGTATTCTAGACATCGACCTGTGACGAACAGAGATAGAAAACGAGAGAGAGAGAGGGGGGGGGGGGGGGGGGGGGGGGGGGGGGATTGGGGGCGGAGAGTTAGCTCCATACAAAACTGGAATGATGGACGCATACAGAGCGATATGGATTCCGCGAGTCCACTAGGCATCACCCAGGAGCCCCGCTGTCAATTATCACGCCTCGAACCAATAGCGTAGCTGTGTTGAGCGGGCTCGCCCCTGCACCCCGCCCCCTCCTTGAGCTGTCCTCGCCGTGCACGCGCGTGGTCCCCCAGGTCGCGAGGAGGAGGAGGAGGAGGAGGAGGGATGAGGCGCGTAGAGGGGAAATGGCTGCCGAAAACAAGCCGGAAGGTAAGAAAGAAATAAGGTGATGATTCTGTGGTTGTTGTTGACCTCGAAAAGAGGGAGAGAGGGATCAGACGCTGGGTTCAGATAAGGGGATGGAGGAACAGAGAGACCGCGGGGCTTTCCCCTTTTCCATCTCTCGCTCTCTCGCTGTCCTGTCCTGAAAACACGGACGCTGAAGCGAAGCTGATATAGGCTACAGCCACACAGAGTTCATTCAGCTCGATGTCAAACGGTTACCGAGAGCATGTTTGAAAATAAGGAGAAATAACGTAAACGGAGTGCGCTTGTTTAGATACAGTAATTGAGAATGTTGTTTTCTTCGTTCCTTTGCGTGTCAGAGTCTCCCCAGGGTTGCAGGTTTACGCCGCTGAGCGTAACAGGATCTGAGTGGATGTGAGAGGATGTGAGAGCTTCACGCTGGAGGAATTCAAATGCATTCTCAGCTCAGGCATCACACACACACACACACACACACACACACCACACACACACACACACACACACACACACACACACACACACACACACACACACACACACACACACACATAAATGCTGCTAAAGCACGAAATCCTCCATGTATCATCTGTAGTGGGATTCCTCGACACGCATGGAACCCCATAGGTTGTGCGGTCAGCCACAATGTGATGTTGTGTTTTTAACGTGCTGTGGACGATGGAGAGTTGGTTGATGGTGATTCAACGCGGAACATACAGCAATGCGCTCTAAACAGCGTCATCTATATGCGGTGCCAGTACGTTCTGTAAAAAGCATTACATTGAATCCAGGTAAAGATGGTAAAAACACACTCAGGTCTTCCTCTTCTGTTGAGGAATTCCCTGAAGGAAGACTTCACACTCTGGCTGAGAGGAAATAGCAACACCAGAGGAATATTTGTTGTCAACATCTTTGTTGCTTCTATTTATAGTCAGTGGGTCACTTGTGTTAAGAGAGAAAGATACATGTGTTTGTGTGTTTGTGTGTGTGTGTGCGCGCGCGCGCGTTTGTACGTGCGTGAGCGCGTGCAGCATGCTTGCATATTTGTGTGTGTGGGTGGGTGTGTTTATGCAATGTGACAATAAAGTTATTTTTGATCTAACTACAGCATCAATATACTGGGGATATATTTTGGTGGTCATAGTATTTGTTTCTGAACCTGTACTGTAAGCTGTGAACTTCAGCACTACTCAACTCCCCCTCATCTCTGATGCCTGTAGGAATAGATCCAGGTCCATTCTAATTAAGCTTTAGTCTGATGTGGAGCTGTTGATAACAACAGAGAAGGGGATCATTTGCGTGTTTAAACATGTCAAATCCTTTACATTTATGTTATTTAAGAAATTAAATGTGAATGTCCCTCAATAGTGAGTTTAAAGGCAGACTCAATGTTATGACATCATTGTACATAACAGAGTGAAAACAACACAATTCAAAATTCCCGATGGTAGCCCACTACTGAGGCATGTCGACATTGGGAATAGCCAGTAATGGCAACTTGGCTTGATTTTAATTTTAATGTTGATAATATGCCTTGCTGTGCACTATGATGTGATATTGTTTACCTTTAAAGGTCCAATGCAGCCATTTTTATCTCAATATCAAATCCTTTCTGGGTAATAATTAGATACCTTACCGGTCAAAAAGAAACAAAAATAGCTTTTTAGCAAAAAACTCTTTCTCCACCAAGAAAATTGTTTCCTTGGACTGTCTGGGAGTGGTCTGAGTGAGGGACTTAATTGGAGCGGCCTAATGTAACCTGAAAACGATCTGTTATTGGCAGATAGGTTTGGAACTCTCTTTGTTGTTGGTCCATTAACTTATATCGCCTGGTGATATCACCAAGCACGCCAAAACTCCACCCATGCAAAACCTGCTGATTAGAAGGTCCTGTGTAAATTGTATTTTCAACCAGCAAATGTCAGGAAATAACACATAAAATGTTTTCACACTTTTACAGTGTTAGTTTCATCAGCTGTTGGACAATATGATAAAAAACACAGGAAAAACAGAATTTTGAATGCCCTGGGCCTTTAACCTTTTAAAATGGTTTGAGGTTAAGCACCATAAACCACACGTCCACTAGGGAGCGATGTCGAGTCATGCAGTAAAGGAGACTATGTAATTAACAACACGTGACTCGAAGGGGCTTTATCTTCAAAGTGGTCGTTAGTAGCCTTATTGTAGGACAGACAGACAAAGACAAACACACACACACACACACACACACACACACACACACACACACACACACACACACACACACACACACACACACACACACACACATAGAGGGGGACAAACATAAATGCAGACAGACACACACACCACATGTAGCCTACGCAGCCACAGGCTTTATGGAGGCCATGGGTTGACAGTCCCAGAGAGAGGGAGCCCACAGGCACATAAACATAGACTACCACAACCTCGCTACAACGCACACGCACACACACACACACACACACACACACACACACACACACACACACACACACACACACACACACACACACACACACACACACAGGGGACAACAGGCTAATCCTTGGATGTCTGAAAGCCACTAGCAGTCTCTTGTTGCTCTGCTAACTGACTTAAGGAAAGCTAGGTTGCTACTATAGTATAGATCAAGCTATAGATTAGAAGATGGCTGCTCTGACTGTTTGAATGGAAGAATGGAAGTCACTGACTCAACCATAATAAGTCTGCATGACCACTTCTTACTGTAGTAAGTCCGTATCATAGCAACGGTGACCAGGGAAACAGGGAAATTAAGAGATGAAAACAAACTAGAAGTAGATGTTGTTGATGCCAATGGTCTCTACAGTAGACTGGATGATTCACATTATACTGGGTGGACCGAGTTCTAATTCCTAATTCTATGGGATGTGTAATACTGAGAATATGCTGAATTAACTAGATCTGTCTCTCTTTTTTCCTCTCCCTCTCTCTCTCTCTATTTACCCCTCTCTCCTCCACTCAACATACTGTCTCCTTCTACCATATCTCCCCCAATATCTAATTCTCTCTCTCCGTGCTCTCCTCTCTCTCTCTACTTCTCTCTACCCCCCCCCCCCCCCCCCCCCCCCCCGTCACCTCTCTCTCCTCTCTCTCCCTCTCTCTCCTCTCGTCTCCTCCCTCTCTCCTCCATCGTCTCTCCTCTCTTCTCTCTCTCTCTCTCTCCTCCTCTCTCTCTC